AGGCACGTACCTAGGTGGCTCCCAGCCAGCTGCTCCCTGAGACAAGCTCCCTGCTTATGTGCTGGGTGGGCGACTCCACTTGGCTGTGTTCCAGCGCAGGGAAGAATGGGGGAGAGGAGAGCGAGGGAGTGAGGAGGCTTCATTCACTGCCCTTGCCTTCAGCAAAATTTCTCAGCTCCTATTGGCCAGAAGCTGGCCAATAGGAGCTGAGGGATTTTGCTAGGGGGTGGGTTCAGTATATGAAGCTTTCTCCTCCCTGGCCAGACTGCATAGCAATTAGCAGCCTGTTGTTTAAAGCGGCTATAGCTGCTCTGTATTAAGGATGATGGTGAGACAACTGCAAGTCAGATCCGGCAACTTGGCAGGCTGCATCTGGCCTGCTTGCCACCTTTTGCCCACCCCTGGTCTAACTGATCACCTCATCTGGGTGAAGAAGGGCTTTTCCCTCAAGTCAGACTAGGAGAAACCCCAGGGAGATTACACCTTCCTCTGCAGCATGGGGTATGGGTCATTTACTTGTTTAAACTAGAGTAAACGAGAGTAAATGGTGGATCCTCTGTAACTTGAAATCTTTAAATCAGGATTTGAAGACTTCACTAACTCAGCCAGAGGTTAGAGATCTATTACAGGCAGTGCTAGGTGAGGTTTTGTAGCCTGTCAGACTCATTGATCATAATGGTCTCTCTTCCCAGCCAGAGCAGACAGACTCTCACTAGCTCTGCTCAAGCTAGGATACTATAAAAGGTAGTTTGGCTGTGGCAGCATGGGCAGCAGCTTGGGCCAGCTACCCGAGTCCAAGCCCACCTGGTCCCCAGGTCTGAGCATGATGGCAAGCATGAGCCACTGCCCACATGGAAACATCTTCACTGCAATTTAAGCTAGTACAGGTCTGTCTTCTTGGGCCAGTAGGCACACTCCAAGCTGCAGTGTAACCTTACCCATCCAGTGCTGTGTTCTTAAAGGTCTGGGCTTCATGCATCTCTATAGCCATGTGGGATGCATGCTGCACGTTTCTTCAGACCTGGGGAGAGCTGCACCAGAGTTGGAAAGATTCAACAACTTCAGCATCCTGCAGTGGTGAATCAGGCCCCACACTGTAGATTCTATATTGCCCATAGTGTAAAACAGATGCAGATGGATTCCCTTTCCAGTCAGTCTGAGGTTCTATAACATTCTGTGTATTCAAAGACTATGTTCAGGGCCTTCTCCCTTTCAGATGCTGCTCTCTATGCTGCTGGCCGTGTTGGGCACTACAGGAGGGGCATACTGTGTGGTCATCTCATCCTTGGGGTTGATTAGAGGGCCTTTTTGTGACATTGGTAATGGAAACTATAGCTACCCTTTCCAGAATGACTCCTTGACGTGAGTATGACATACTGACTCTTCCAAAATGCAAGGGCCAAATTTTGCACCTTTCTGAGGGTACGTACGTCTACACTTGCTCCCTAGTTCGAGCTAGGGATGCAAATGTAGCTGACCAAAATTGCTAATGAAGCAGGAATTTAAATATTCTGTGCTTCATTAGCATAATCTCGCCCGCACGTTATTCTGTTCAACAGCTGATTCGAATCAGGAAGTGCACTCCGGGACACGTTAGTTCAAATCAAATCCCTTGGTTTGAACTAACATTACTCCTAATTTTAACCAAGGGGTTTGATTCGAACTAACACATCCCGGAGCGCACTTCCTGATTTGAATCAGCTGTTGAGCGGAATAACATATGGGTGAGATTATGCTAATGAAGCATGGGAGATTTAAATCCCTGCTTCCTTAGCAATTTCGGTCAGCTACATTTGCATCCCTAGCTTGAATTAGGGAGCAAGTGTAGACATACACTAACAGCAATTCTAGGTTTTTCTGAAATGAATTGATGTTCTGCACTATCAAATCCTGAATCTGTATTATTCTTTGTGGGCAGACCTCAACCACCATTCCCTTGGTCTAAGTTATCTGGCTCATTCTTTGGGAAACTGCCTGATTTCGTTTTGGAGGGCACTTTGTTTCTTGTATGCTATTGACCAGACTTGTGTGAAGGCTGTGCAATTCTTTCATGAAACTGCATGAGATTTGAGCTATGACTTCCATTAAAGTCAAACATTACGTCTACATTGGCATGATCTTGCACAAATATTCTTTAACGCAAGGGTTTTTGCCTTAGAGTATTTGCGCAAGAGAGTGTCTACACTGGCATGTGCCTTTGCGCAAGAGATGTGCTTTTCGCAACAGCATCCGTGCCAGTGTAGATGCTCTCTTGCGCAAGAAAGCTCTGATGGCCATTTTAACCATCAGGCTTTCTTGCGCAAGAAATTCATGATGCCTGTCTATACTGGCCTCTTGTGCAAGAACAATTGTGCAAGAGGGCTTATTCCTGAGCGGGAGCATCATAGTTCTTGTGCAAGAAGCACTGATTTCACACATTAGAACGTCAGTGTTCTTGCGCTAGAACTCCCCACCAATGTAGACAGGCAGCAAGTTTTTGCGCAAAAGCAGCCACTTTTGCGCAAAATCATGCCAATGTAGACACAGCCAAAGGGAGTAACATGGCTAAAACATCACATAGATGGATGAAAATCTATATAATTGAGCTCTCTGCCACACCCTTCTGAAAAGTAATGCAAAAATCTCTTGTCCTTTGGTTTTTTGCAAGCAAACCCTGACAACATCTTGCAGTATGTTAGGAATTCTGATGGTCTAGGGAATTCTGATGAAACCTGACGAAATATTGCAATAGATCATGAGCACATTTTTTGATATTTTGTGGACTTTTGTATTTTGCCATTCAAATGGTCAATAAACAAGAGACAGGTGGGCAGCCACATAGTGTAAGCCTAATTCTCCATGGCCCTGCACCTGGGGCTGTCAGTTACACCTTTGTAAAGTAGGTATAAAATGCTACCCGACCACTACATTAGAGTTTTACATACACTTTACATTTTGCAAATGATTTAAAGATATCAAGGAGAGAATCAGGCCCAGTCTTTGAGGAACAACTTTTAATCCATGAAGTCTTTTTGAATTATTCTTCATGATAAGCTGTCGATTATTTTTTCTTCTTACAGAGACAATTATTTGTTTAATCAGACAACGTGGAGCATTTGCAAAAAACCAGAAAACATTATTATTTGGAATATTGTCTTGTTTTCTCTTCTCCTCGGAATTGGTATAATTGAAGCTGTTCTTTGCCTTATTCAAGTCATCAATGGTCTTATTGGGTTCATATGTGGCACATGCATGAGGAAAAGAAAAGTGAGTATCTGATGTAAGATGTCAAAGTAAATATTATATTTACTAGCCTTTTTCAGACTCAGTGATGATTTTTAGATCCACTTTTGACAGAACCACTTTTGACAATAAATTTTCATGGTTGTGTATAATGATATCAGATGCATAAACAAATGGTGCGGATCTCAATGACTTTTAAATAGTTGGATAAATAATAACAATTAAAGCCCAATTTTAAAAACATAGGACTAGTCATCCTCATGTAGAGAGGAGAAAAGAGGTCTGATGCTATGATTATTTAGGAAAACCTTATCAAATACAATTAGTGATTTGGGGCATCTCAATCTGCAGGTACTGAATGTGAGATACATAAAAAGATCTGATTTTCTGACAATACTTAACACCCACCCTCTGAACAGCAAGTGTCTCAAGTTGGACACTCAATAACTGAGGCACCTGAAGTCACTAGCCACTTTCCAAAATGTAAGGATTAAAGCCTATCTATGGCTATACATACAGGGCTCAGGATCATGTTATCTATGGGCTGTAATGAGGCAGAAATCTGTTCTTGGCTTTTAAGTCTCTGTTTTTGTTTAAAAAGCACCTTCACATTTGGATTTTTCTCCATAAGGAGGTTTTTTTTTTTTTTGCCATTTATTTTAACTTAAGATTCCTGTAGCAAGCCTGATATCCTTCTGGAATTTTAATTAACTTGACTTTTTTTTTTCCTTCCTTGCTTTTCAGACAGATATTGCTGGAATGTAAATCACCTACAAAGAATGCCAGTGACAAGCACAGACCTGTGGGGATACATGTATAATCATAATGTGTTGATGTATTTGTGGGGACAGAGGGACCCTGAAATGTTCAGGAGTTTCAGAAAAACTCCAGAACATTTTATAAAGATATCTGGGTGGGAGGGGATGGATTAGCTAGAACTTTTGAGGTTTCAGATTCTTTTTTGTCTCCTCTAAGTACCCAGGTAAAGTCTCTGGTACTGGCAACATGACACTGTCTTTTCAAGAGTGCCTGGCATGGACTAAATATTCAATCACAAATATTCTCCAGTTAAAATTGACTGCTTACCCATCAAGTGCTGCCCTGTGTATCAAGCATGTCACTCGGAAGTGCTGACTGTTGTATGTGGGAATCTGTACTGACTAATCATTCTAATATAAAGATTTATCAGCGCTGCTGATCTCATCCACTCTGGCTGGGTGTCTAAAGATGCTCTTTAATGCTCCCCAAACCCTGTCCTGGTGTAAAACAGTGTTGGATTCTCTGGCAGTGCTCTGTGTTTGCTGTGTTGTAACTGTGTCCGTTCCAGTATATGAGAGAGACAAGATGGGTGAGGTAGTACCTTTTATTGGGCCAACTTCTGTTGGTGAGAGAGACAAGCTTTTGAGCTCATCTTCAGGTCATGCTCTGTCTATTCATATCACTTTGGCACATAAGCACTAGTCATTTAAAGGTCTAGCTCAGAAAGGGAATTTTTGAAACCTCGCAGATGCCATGTTGCTTAAATAGCAGCAATATTTGTAGCACTATGGAGGCCCTGAGTAGCAGGCAGTTGGCCAGTTTCTGACCTGCTTTAAGCTCTGTGGAGCCAGCCTCGACTCACACTTCTGTGTGTGCTATAGGAGGCTGGGGTGGTATATAGAGTGCCAATACATCACTGAAAATTATCCCTTCAAAGGTAATAATGCTGCATATGGGGCAGCGCTAGAGGTGCATTAGGCCCAACATGCAAGGTTTTTTATATAGCACCCCATTAGCCAGTAATTAACCTTGTTTTACAATAAGGAGGAAAACTTTAGGGCCAATTATGCTGTCAGATGTATGGACAGGGCTCTCAGTCACTTTCAAGGGAGTCTGAGGTACACATCCTCATGTAGAACATATTCACACTCAATATTTAATTTTTTAAAATTGCATTTCTAATCATTATTGTGCATGGTTTTCTGGTAAATTGAAGCTAGCTCTGAGAGGCACCAAATGGCATCATTCTCAGTGCTACAGCAAGCTTGGATCCCACAAAGTGCGGAGCATGAGATCAAGCCCTAAATACTAAATTCATGTGATTGGTAAATTCCAGAGAATCTGTGATGACAGGAGTGAATTCTTTGTCATCTCAATGGCCACTTCAAAGGTGAATTCTTACAATTGCCACTGATTCTTCTGCTCAAAAACAAAAAGTATTAAGATATTTTACATATATATCAGAAACTATTTATAACTGCATAAGTATAAAGTTAAGTTATTTTGGATCTGTTTTGCAAAAGGAGGGACTTTTTTTCCTCTTTCAAAAAAGTTTTGACTACTGCATGGGATGACACAGGTGGGCATTTTCCTATTGTCCATTAGAAATTTGCACAAAGGAGTATTTGGTAACTCGTACTGTTGCCTGGTATATGCATGCAGATCCCTCAAATGAGGAAATAAATGCTAGTAATGTTCATGCTCTTGGCAGGTGCAACTTAAGCACCGATATTTGAAATTTTCACCCATAGTGGTTTAAAGCAGGTTTTTTTTACATAAAAAGCAAGAGAAATACACAGGTTGGCCAAGGTTTTCAAACACAAATGAGGGATTTGAATGAAACCAAATTGTGTAAGTGACTCTGAAAATTCCAGCTGTTACAGGCAATGGAGTATGCATGATGATTAGAGATGTAGTTTACAGTACTACTGTCCCATTTACTGCAGCAACCTTTTTATTTTAAAACTGCTGAAAAATGAAATAAAATGCTGGGCTTTCTTTGGCTACATTGTATAAAATTTTGTCCTTCTGCTGCTTGAAAATGCACTGCATGTTATCTCATGTTTAACAGTTTAAGTTTACCTGTTGAAAAATGTATAGTTGCTGGAGAGTGATTCATGTAACATGCTTCTAGTGTATTAAACCCTCTGAGCCTGATTCTCAGTTGCACTCCGAGGCCATAGTGTAACTGAGAATACAGGCTTCTTTGTTCCGACCATATCAGTGGTGCTTCACAGCCAGTATGTCATCAAAAGGCGGCACTGCTGCCACTGTGCTGCAACTATTAGTTTACTCAATAACCTGCTAGCAACTGGCTCCTTTCACCCACCTCTCCTCTTCACCCAGTTCCATGTGTCTGCCCTGCCCTACACAAGCTGTCATTAAGTTCCTTTTCTAGGCCAGTTGGCCTGATCCTAGATAGACTCTGAGACGGATTCCCCTTTCCTTGCAGCCCCTTAAATTGCCAGACATGCCCATAGTGCTGCTTGCTTCCCTGCTGCCTGCCTGCTTCTCTTGCTCCCACAGTATTATCATTTACTTTCCACTCTCCTCTTTCCAGCCACTACCCTTCTGCTCCTGCTCCTAGCCTCACCCTCCCTCATCACTTCAGCTCTCACATAGTCCTCACGCACTGGACCACCCTGTGTCAACTCTACCCCAACTAGCCTTCTACCTAATGTTATTTCCTCCCCACTCCCAAGGAAACCAGAAGTGACTCGCTGGAACAGGTTACACTTTATAATTAAAAGCTGCCTCATTAAATATTTTCTTCAAATGAATTTCAGCCCTGGAAGCAAAGTAAACAGACGGGCAGCCTGCTGTTGAGGTGTCCGCTGCAAAGAGGGAAGATGTTAAGGAAAAGCCTATCTTGATTAAGGATCAGTCAGGAGCTTTGGAATAGAGGAACTGCTTTGTATGGGTAGCAGACACAAAGAAGCTTGGGAGAACTTACTGCAGCAGCGTTTTCAACAAAAAGCTGCTTTGAAACTAAAATGAAAAACAATGTAAAGAAACAGTACCTAATTAGACAACTTTTCATAAAACATTATCTCTCACACTGCATCACAGCAAACAGGAAGGGATAAAATAATTGCTAACAAACTCAACTGAGGCCTGCAGAAAGAACATTAACTCTTTGTCAATTGGGGAACCCAAACTCGATCAGCTAGAGCTAGGCAAATTATTCATTGTGCATACAATTTCTTTGCAAATTTATCCTTTTCTTCTGTTTGCAAATTGTTCCTTCGCTGAACCTGATTTCTATGGCTTTATTTATATGTATTTGTCAAGTAGTTTAGTCAAACAAATTTCAGCCTATCAAATATTCATGAGTGGTCTACTAGGACTGGTCACTTAAAGTCACATGGTATTATTTCTGCTCCCTAATTGGATGATTGGAAATTTTTAAACAAGAGGAGAACAGATGATGAGAAAAAAAAACACACAAATGTTCCAATGAATACATAGGTGGTCATTGGGATGGGAGTGGGGATGAAACCTAGGTCTATTAGCACTAAACCAACAGGTTCTACTATTTTACCTGAAGGAGTAACTAACTGCTTTAACTATGAGTATGCAACAGGCTGTTAAAATTGCTGGGGCCAGCTTACCATCACCCCCACCCCCGCATATACACACATATAGCCAGTGCATTACACTCTTATTTGTGAAACCTTCAGAAATGATGCAGTTTAAATAAATTCCCAGTAGCCATTCTAATACTTGAGACAGATTAACATTAGGACCCTGTATATGACAGCAAATCAAACTCAACACTTTTATTCACAAAAATATATGCTAGCTACTTTGTGGCTTATTTGACCAGCTCTTCTACCAGCCCAGAAATACTTAGAGCCAGGCAAACCAACATCAAAGGAAAGGTGGCAGCACTTTGATTCAGATAGTCTGTTGAAGACACAATTCACATGGCTGTTGAAGACAGTTTCTAAGATCTCAGATAACTCTGAGTGTGTTGTTACTTACTATTAAAAACTGATGTAGCCAGGAGATCAACCAAAACCCAAGCAGAAAAGCGATGACACTACCATGCATTCAGAGTGTGAGCGAGAATCCAGCAGACATGTGCCAGTGCAAGAAGTCTGCTCACCTTAACAAACCTAAACCATCCATCCCAATCAGCCCACATGACCAGTCATTGCAGGCTCTGCTGCCTGGTGACTACCATTATGAACGAGTCAGCCCAGCTTATGCCTGGCAGGTGCAGGGTCTGCTGGCTGGGTGCTGGCAGCCTTGCAACTGGCACAAAATGTGTAGCCAGCCCGTGGCCCTTTAAGGGCTCTGGGGCCGGGAGGGGGGCAATAGAGTTTGCCTGGGGTTGGCCAGAGTGGCCACCAGGGCAAGCTGGGAAGGGCTAGCCTCCCACTAGTTCGAATTAAGGGTCTACACAGCCCTTAATTCGAACTATCTAGTTCGAACTAGGCTTAATCCTCGTAAAATGAGGTTTACCTAGTTTGAACTAAGCGCTCCGTTAATTCGAATTAAGTTCGAACTAACGGAGCACTAGTGTAGCGACTTCCCTGTGCTTACCAGGTGGAGCTGTGGGGTTTTAAAAATGCCACCCAACTTCCGGGCATCCCTTATCCTGCCTTCCCAACAAGGGAGCCAGCTCCACCCCAGGGCAGCTGGCGTTGACAGCTGAGATCCAAATAGAAAGTAGTTAGGGCAGGGCCCCTCTAAAAACAGTGACGGGGGATTTTGCCTCCAAGACAACGGAGACTGCTGATGAAAAGAACACTTATTTTTGCAGAAATATGTAAAACACAAAGATTAAATAGAAATATGTAAAACACAAAGATTAAATAGAATTAGCAACACATTTATCACTGCACATTTATCACAGCAAGAAAAACTCAACTCAGTAAGCAAGAGAAGACAGCCCAGATTCACCAGGCTATTCATTGCCTTGAACAGTTTCATTTTCTAGGATTTCACAGATGCTATGGTGGAGGTGCCTCCTGTTAACATATTACACTGAAAATATGTCATTAACGGGTACAGTGTTTCTCACCTAGCTTTTCATACCTATACCTTTAGGGCCAAAGTCTGATACTCTTATTCAGGCTGATGTTTATAAGATCAGTAAATAGACTACAGTACTATTCAGCCTAAGAAAAAGTATCAGAATTTGGCCTTTAGAGTTTTGTCTTTTTTAAATGAAAACAACCACACTATTTGTATTTGTACAAATCCTCCTGTCAAATTGAGGATAAATTTACAAAAATCTTACTTCCCCTGCTATTTCTAATGAATTTTTCATATTACAGTTTGATGTCAAATTCATCTATTTTGTCAACAATTTAGTTGAAAACCTCTTATATAATTGTACTTTGAAGACGTCTCTCTCTCAATCAGAACGTTTGCTGCCAGATTAGGATTTATGGGCCACAAACCCAGCAGCATGAAGAACCTTGAACTGGCCTTCATTTTGCTATCAGTGCTATCAGGACAGCTCTACATGGCTTCCAAAATGTTTGGAGAACACTGTACACAGAGGGATTGACAATGGATTATTTACAGAACACTATAATAATAATAAAAAACTCCACAAGGTTTTCCTCGGGTCTTTCTCTTCAAGACTCTCCACAGCCACAATGAATGTAGTTAGTTTTTAGTGTGTATTGCTCATCTAAAGGTCATCTTTGAAATGTGCCATGTAAGTTTCACAAAATTACTGCCCCATGATCTCTGCACGAGGTGGTTTGTTTAGAAGAAACTGTTAAGATGTTTTGAACTTACAAATTCCATCAAAGAACACAAGTGAAAGACTGGCCAGGAAACAATCTTTGATTTACCATCAAGGATCTACTTTTAGGATAAATTTTGGTGTTCAGGAAAGAATAGTAAGTCCACTACCACAAGGAAAAAACATGTTACCTAGCATCAAGGATCATATCTCAATTGTCAGAAGAAGAAAGACTGAAAGTCTGTTGCCCAGAGCAGGATTTCAGCCACAGATCAACCAAAATGCTGACATCTAAACTGTATAAATTACTCTTACCCTACCACATAAGGGGCTCCTATTGGAGGTTTATTATTCGTTTGTAGTACAGCTTATTCTTTCTTAAATTTATCTAAGAACGTTTTCTCTTTCTAATTACCTGAGAAACATTCTATCAGGCATTTGTTAAATACAGCTTCCAGAGAAACAGCTTGCTACCTGTAGTTTCATGGTACAGTGCAAACTTATTTGCATCAGGGAGTTCTACTCAGTTGATCATTGTTTTTTTTTTCTTTCCTCAATTTCTTTTCATTATAATGATATTTTAAAATTTTCAGTCAACATTGTTCAGACAGACACTCTCATCAACATATGTGCTGACCTCACAGCTATAGCCTAGCAAAATGGATACTGATTATTCACATGCCAATGCACATCATACCGAAAACATTTTCCCTCATTGGTGCCAGACTGACATTGTACAACACATCAACATTTGCCTTAGTCCCAATCCCTTATTATCTATTCTACCCTACTTCCACACAAAAGGCAGGATTGGATATTTCCTCACGAAGGGTGGAGACTGAAAGACAGAGACATAGCACCCAGTACCTTGACCAAAATTTTGGCTCATAACTCTTTCTGATTCTGTGTTAGCACTACTGAATCCATAGACATCTTTGTGGTCCAAAATAAGCTGCAGGAAATGGCTCTGAATATACCTGGGTTGGTAACTTTGATTGTGTTTTATGCAATAACTTTGGCTATTGGAATTTGGGCTTCTTGGAAAAGCAAAAAGGAGCAGAAGAATGGGAAACCAAGTGAGATGGCCATAGTGGGGGGCAGGAACATGAATTTCTTCATTGGATTATTCACTGCAACCGGTAAGTGTTCCTAAAGGAAATTATTTTATCTTATTAAAATATTCATGTTGAATTTTTCTCATTCACAACATAAATTTGCTCTTCTAAATCAGGGATATGGAATTAAATTTTTAATAGCTATCATGGCCCAGATTGTACCAGCTGTACTCACTCTAAGCAGTCTTGAATGCCTTGGGCAGTCCTACTTAAATTAGTGGGAGCCCCAGAGGACTATAGTACTACTCAATTGAATAGAACATGGTTCTAATTTAGGGCAAGCTTCTGCTTCCATCATACCTAACTGCTAACTTGTAATGTGAGATATGGTACCACTCAGTGCTTTTTTTGTAATGGTACTGCCCAGTACGCAGAACTGGCACCTCCAGACGCAGTACCAGCACCTCCAGTCAGAGCTCAACAACTTTTCCCCTGGATTATCATCACCTTTTTTTTTTAAATACAAAAAAAAGCACTACCACTCATCATGAGGAAAGCTACCAGAATCTGTGGATAAAGAAGGATGTCTATATAGCAATTAAGGCACATCCACACTATGCTTCTGTATTTTCCCATGATCAGAGATTTGTCCCTCTTACCTGTCATTAAAGGAATGCAGTCCTAAGCAATATTCTCTTTACACTTTTCCATCCATGTGCAGAATGATTTTTTTTATGTGCAACAAGGTATGTGTGAATGGGCATCACCAGTAGAAACCAAAAAACCTAATTGTGGGTGCTCTGCTAATCATTTGGGCAGCATTTGATTCTCTCCTGAGCAGCTGCACAAGCACCCAGCTTCCAGGGAACACTGGTCCCAAGTGACATTTCTGACCATCAGGTTTGCTTAGTTTAAGTCTTGGCTGAAAATTCACTTTTTTGAATCCAGTCTATGCTTGTCTGTTAAGAGATTTATTGTCTTAAGTACACATTTGTTGTTGTAAAAGACCATGATACATGAGAATTAGGTTCTATAAATCATTAAGGAACAATAAATGTAATGCTATTTGCTCTTGCTATCTGCTCCAGCCAGTGTGTGCCATTAACAAAAATAGAAATAAAAATAAACCTAGTTGAATTGCTTTAAAACATTCAGAACATTAGTGAGTTTTTGAATGCAAATGTGTCTTTCACTTTTGAATATAACTTCTCCAGAATTTTACACTACAAAGTTTTGTTGGCATAGCTGTGTTGGACAGGGTTCTGAAAAGCCCACATTCCCCAATCAACACAGTTATGCTGGCAAAACCCTTAGATTTGGCTGATAATGCTTCCGTTGGCATACTTAATATCACCCAGGAAGGTTACGTTCCTATCACACAGGAGAAAAACTGCAGTCTGTGCTGCATCCCTTCTAGGGGCTTTTGATGCTATAACTCTATTGGTACCAGCAGTATCAGCAGAACCCATGTAGTGTAGACTAGCCTTCAGGGTCGGAATCTGATAATCTGATTACATTGTGTAGAAACTTCTTTATGAAATAACACCATTGCAGTCTCTGTGCATGTGATTAAACACTCACTAGTGTGAACACATGGTTCACAGTTGTATTTTTCAGCATGCTTTATGAGATTAGTAGGGCAGTGTATATCTTATCACTCTTTTACTTTTCCCCCCTTTTTTTCAGCAACATGGGTCGGAGGAGCATATATCAATGGTACAGCTGAAACTATCTATCTTCCCACAAGAGGACTAATATGGGTCCAGGCGCCAATAGGATTTACTTTGTCCCTTCTTATTGGTAAATAAAATGCATGTTATGAACTATTTTTTTAAAGATAGTGGTATAGCTCTAAAAAATTCAGCCTCTCCCGGTGGTAACCGGGTGTTTTCCTTGCTACCCAGATCACACAGGTTCACAGACAGATTTGAGCTGTCATTTATTTGCTGCTTCAGTGAGTGATCACTCCATCGAGACAGGGTGCAGCACAGGGTTAAATGCAAGCGCACACCCCAAATACATGGTTAACAAGTTATTCCTTATAATCACCTTTTTGCCTAATACTAAGATTAGTTTGCTAACTCAGTTTATCTCCAAGGTTGCTCCAAGTGAATGGCTGACTCAGTTATTCATCAGATTGAACTGCTGGCTCAGCTTGTCACCTGGCTGTTTTCATGCCCCATCAAACAAGCGGACATCTTTTCACATGTTTCAGCACATAAAATGTGCATTCTTCATATCATCTATTCTACCCTCAGGTAACTCAGAGCTGTTTAAATTTCTGAGTGAAGTGTCTGATAACGTACACCCCAAAAGTGGAGTCATTGGCCTTTATTGAGCTATTTTCTGCACACAAGAGACTCACAATGAGAATTCAGGGGATTAATAATTTAGGCCAGGGATGGGCAATAATTTTTGGTTGAGGGGCTACTCCAAGATTTAGGAAATTGGTCAAGGGCTGCACTGTTCTGTAGAGGCAATGCAGGGTCTAGAGTGGAAGTTGGGCACAGAAGGGTGCATGGGGTAAGGGACTGGGGTTCAGGAGACGGTGTGAGGGCTGAGAGGCAGGTTAGGTGAAGGAGGGGTGTAGGATCAGGGTGGGAATATGGATGAAGGCAAGGATTCTGGCCTGGGGAAGGGCACTAGGAAGGGGTGTAGAGTCTGGGAGGTAACTGTGACCTGGAAGAAGGGGGGGAAAGGGTGCAGAGGGCTTGGATGGTGACCTGGGTCAGGGGATTGGGGTACAGGATCTGGGAGGGGTGGGGTATGGGAGCAGGAGAGAATTCTGGCCTGGAGGAGTGTAGAAGAGGGTACAGGTTCTGGGACGGAGTTGTGGGACCTGAGGAGGGGAGGGGCAGAGGGTTTGGATGGTGACCTGTGGGAGGGAATTGGAGTGCAGGAGGAGATGGGAAGGCGCTGACTGGGAAGGCTCTGACTGGGAAGCGCTTACCTGGGAAGCGTCTCCCAACCAGCAGCCCTGCAGCACCCACAAGGCAGGCTGGGCTTCCTGCCTGCTGCAGCCCAGATCACTTTAAATTGCAGGCTGTTCCCTCCACGTGGCTCTCAGCTCCTGGAGGGGGAAGAGGTTTGCACTGACCCCCTCCTCCAGGCCAATCTCTCAGCTCCTACTGGTTGATTGTTCCTGGCCAATAAGAGCTGAGGATTGGACTGGGGATGGGGAGATCACACGAAGACTCCCCTTCCCTTTTTTTAAAAATTATTTATTTTATTTGCTGAGAAGTTTCAAATCAAAGGTAGGTTTCAACGGGGGGAAAAAAACACTCCAGCCTGGCTGGAAGCAGAGCAGTGAAGTGCACTCCAGGGTTTGGGGTGCAGTGTGCTCTAGCACCTCCTGGGACCCATTATCCCTGCCCACCGACACACCTTGGAAGGCAAGGATAAAGGACCCTAAGGAGGCTGGGGGAAGCTGCAGGACAAGCTCCCACTTACTGCCTGGGACTCTGCAGCCCCTGTGGTCAGAAAACAGAATGAAGACCAAGCAGCCACCCCACAGGGAGCGGGGCAGCGAGAGGGTTGGTGGGCATTGTCCCCTGGCCCTGCTGAGCTGGGCGCTATGCTGCTCCCACTCTCCTTGGTCTCTGCTCCACTCTCTGGGCTCCCTGCCTTCCCGAGGGTGGCGCGTGCAGGGGTGCCTAGGCAGTGTGAACCAATCTGGCTGTGCTCTTCTGACCAGGAAGCAGATATCCCTCCAAAAGGCTACTTCTGATCAGTCTCCACTGAAAAGCCTGCAGGCTCTCTGATAGTTGCAGGCAGTCTGGTGTAAAGCAGACAATGATTAACTCAAGGGTTGCCAGACATCTGTTTTTTTACTTGAACACGCAGTTGGAAAGGGACCCTGGTGGCACCAGCCATTAAAAGTCCAGTCAGCAGTGAAGTGGGGCTAAGACAGGCTTCCTGCCTCCCCCAGCTCCACACTACTCCCTGCAGGCTCTGGCCACTAGACACAGCAGCAGCCAGGGAAGCACTATGCCACCTCAACTGCCAGCTCTTCAGCTCCTATTGGCTGTGGCTCCCAGACAATGGGAACTGTGGGGTGGCATCTGCAGGTGCGGACAGTGTGTACACTGTGCACAGCAAGCTGCCGCCCTGCACCTAGGAGCCAGACATGCTAGTCACTTCTGGGAGCCACACAGAGCCAGGGCAGGCTGGGAGCCTGCCTTAGACCCACTGCATTAAGTCTGGGAGTTGCCTGAGGTAAGAGTCACCCAAAGGGAGCCCACACAAATCTTTGGAGTCTGGACTCCATGCTCCCTTCCACATCTCAACCCTCTGCCCCACCTGAACTCCATCCAGCACCTGAACTCCCTCTTCCCCAGCCCCACCCCAGAGCCCAAACTCCCAGCCAGAGCCTGCACATAAGAACATAAGAACAGCCATACTGGGTCAGATCAAAGGTCCATCAAGCACAGTAGCCTGTCTGCCAACAGTGGCCAATACCAGATGCCCCAGAGAGAGGGATTACAACAGATAATCCTCACGTGATCAGTCCCCTGTCACCCACTTCCAGAGAAACAGAGGCTAGGGACACCATTCCTACCCATCCTGGCTAATAGCCATTGATGGACCTACCCTCCATTAATCTATCTAGCTCTTTTTTGAACCCTGTTAAAGTCTAAGTCTTCACCACATCCTCTGGCAAGGAGTTCCACAGGCTGACTATGCTCTAAGGGAAAAAAAACTTCCTTTTGTTTGTTTTAAACCTGCTGCCTATTAATTTCATTTGGTGACCCACAGTTTTTATATTGTGGAATAAGTAAATAATTTCCTTATTCACTTTTTCCACATCAGTCATGATTTTATAGACCTCTATCATATCCCCCTTAGAAAAGAGGAGATTAAAATGGAAAATCCAAGGACCTGTTCCAAATCCCTAATCATTTTTGTTGCCCTTTTCTGGACCTTTTCCAATGCCAATATATCTTTTTTGAGATGAGGCGACCACATCTCTGTGCAGTATTCAAGATGTGAGTGTACAACGGTTTTATATAGAGACAATAAGATATTCTTTGTCTTATTCTCTATCCCTTTTTTAATGATTCCTAACATCCTATTTGTTTTTGTTTTTTTTACTACCACTGCACTCTGGGCTATATCTACACTATGGGGCTACATCTACACTGGCCCCTTTTTCGAAAGTAGGAAGTAGGAATAAGAGATCCTCCGGAATAGAGCTTTATTCCGGAGGATCGGGTCAGTCTAGACACTTTTTTCCGGCTTTTCCCCAAGCGGCGGACATCTTTATTTAAATCCCGCAGGGGATATTTAAATCCCCCGCGGATTTCCCTATTCCGAAGTTTAAAATTAGCATGCCCCTTTCGAAAAAGGGGCCAGTGTAGACGTAGCCTGGGGGTTTTCCAGGATGAGGTATCCTGGAAAAACTCTGCCGTGCCTAGGGAACATGTCTGCTCTTCCACTTTTTCTTGCAGAAGATCAGATGTGCTCTTTCAGAAGCCCTGTCTTCCTCCTTCCACAAGGAATAAGGGTTCTTCCAAAAGAGGAAGCTTTTCTGAAATTTGGCCCAGTTTGAATGGGCCAAATTTTGGAACAGCCTCTTCCAAAAAAATTATTGGAAGAAGGTATGCAAATTGCATACCTTTTTCTGATATGTCAGGGTAGTCTAGACACAGCCTTGGTGGATGTTTTCAGAGAACTATCCACAATGACTTCAAGATCTCTCTCTGGGGTAGTTGTAGCTAAATTAGTCCCCATCATATTGTATGTATATAATATATGGAGACATACCAGTCTCATAGAGCTGGAAGGGACCTTAAGAGGTCATCATCAACTCCAGCCCCCTGTCCCCATAGCAGGACCAAGTACCATCCCTGACAGACTTTGTCCCAGATCCCTAAATGACCCCCTCAGGCATTAAGCTCATAACCTTGGGTTTGGCAGGCTATTACTCAGGCCACTGAGCTATCCCTCCCCCCTACTTTGGATTTTTTTTTGTCCAATATGCATTACTTTACATTTATCAACATTAACTACACCCATTCCCACACCCCAAACCTTTGCCTCAGCCCAGTGAAAGTGAGTGAGGTTGGAGGAGAATAAGCAACGGAGGAAGGATGAAGTGTTTGGAAAGCAGGGTTTCAGGGAAGGAGCAGGAAATGGGGCAGGGCCAGGATGTTCATTTTCATGCAGTTAGAAAGTTGGTGACCCTAGTTAACCTGCTGATGTTTGCAAAGGGAGATGCAGCTTCCATTTGCAATAGAGTGCAATAGACAGCATCACAGATTATCAGTATAGAGAAACTAAGAATGTTGCCCCAGGGGTACTCTGGGTTCTATCCTGAGGACTTCCAGGACACAAAGCAAGCTGGGACCCATGCATATAGGAAATCAATAGTACTAGGACTCTAGCTCCCTGTCTCAGTATAACATGGGGTCAGACCCTTCATACTATGTTAGCACAATTAGTGTGTGGATGCAAGGGGAGTTAGATTTGAGCCCAGGCTCAAGCCTAGGCTTACACTGTTGTGTAGACATGTCATAGGGTCCATTCCTGTCTGGTCCTCTTCATTCAGATGTGAGATGCCACAACCCAGCAGCCCAAGCCACTGAAACCAATGCTTTGACCTCCTCAACTGCAGCTGAACACTCCTCCAGAGTCCACCTTGGTGGGTTCCCTGGATTGTCTTTGGGGACACCTGGCAGATAAAGTAACGAACTGAGGCTTTGCTCCAGAGTTTCTAAAAGTACATTGACCAAACCATATAAAAGTTACAGCGCTTTAGGAAAACAACAGGAGCCTGAATGCTCTTTTCCCTGTCAATGCTCATCCCTTCTTGTGAATCCTTAGGCCCAGTCTGTGTGTTAAACAGGTAGGCCCGTTGGACCCTCTACCTTCTGCAGTCTCTATTGTCTAGCAAGAGACTGAAGGCCAAGAGTAGATCTTGCCTTTAAATAAGGTTTCAATCCCCTTTGTCATGTTACTTACTGTTCAGCTTCATCATCTCAGTCACATGACTGAAGTCCTACTCCTTGGAGACAAACTAGATGAGCCAGTTTCCTTTAGCTGACCACTCTTTTCAGCAAATTCCTTGCTCTGACAAGCACCATTGATGACTCTTGTGTTAGTTGCTTCAAGGAAGTGCCTGGCATTAAAATAAGCTGCTTTGGTCTGTCCTTGGCATCTCTAGACAGACACAATTATACTCTCCAGATGCAAATCACATTCCTCAAAATGATGGTTGCAATGTCAAGGGAAGGATTAGGCACTGCATACATTCATCAGTTTTAATGGCAATGCTGCTTGAGTGAAGACTGCTGTTAGGAGGAAAGAGCAGGCTTAGTACCTGAGATGATGACGTTAAAAACAAAATAATTTAATTTTGGAGGAGGCATAGGGGAGCTGCAGATTTCATGTACGTAACATTTATTCATACACGAAGGCAGCATTTATCTCAGTACGTTGAATGGCATCTAGATCAGGGACAAATCTATGGTCTTATTGTTGTAGCCCTGCAAATCCATGGATATTCGCTTTATATCTGTTGAGTATCCATGGCTCATTTTTTTGGATAGAGATGCAGATACAAATTTCTTATTTAGAACCTTGCAAATTTGCAGTTATACACTTTATAGCTGCGGGTATCTGCATCCACAGATATGGATGCAGGTATCCATGGATCGTTTTTTGGATGTGGTTACCAATTTTGTATCCGCACAGGACTCTACTTATTTTGATCGCAGCACATTTTTTTCAAATAATGTAAGACTCTTTACATTGAAAACTCTCTTGGGCCTTGCATTGCCTGAAGAAGATGGTTATTGGTGAGAAGTGCACTTTTAAAAGCTTGGTAAATGTGGATATTTAATGAATTGTGGAGGTGATCAGTTGACTAACATTTTAATGGGGAACATTAGCAGACTATTGCAGTGTGAATTGTGAACATTAACTAATGCTGGCTTTAATACAGATGTCTTTTAGAACAAGAGGGTAGTCTGACTCATTTCTGAGAAAATAATGTATGTAAAATTCAATGACAATATTATCACTTCCAAAAGGTGGCATCTTCTTTGTAAACCCAATGAGATCCAAGAATTATTTGACAATGATGGATCCTCTCCAAGAAACATACGGGAACAAGATTGGAAGCCTTCTCTTTATTCCACCATTGATAGCAGACATATTCTGGTTTGCAGCTATTCTTGGTTCATTAGGTAAATATATTTGCTTTGTTGTTGCATTTCACAGAACGGATAATGTAGCAAAATACTCTACTTTATGCCACCTTTTGTGGGTTGTGTGATCATCTCAAATTTATGAAAATGCATTGTTTATTCCCTTTCCTAATGTTTCTTGTGCATGTTTAAAGCAAAATTTATGGAAACATAAAATTCACATTTTCACAGAAGTAGGTAATGCCATATATTTATTTATTTATTTATCATCATCATGATAATTACAAATGGGGAAACTGAAGTGCAAAGAAGTGAAGAGACTTGGGCAAGCTCACAAAGTACATTGGTGGCAGCTCAAGAAATAAAACAGCTAGCCCAGTGCACTAACCACTAGACTACACTGCCATTGCTATCATTTAACCATGTTTGCTATAATAAATATATATATAACCTATTATGACTGTGCAAAACTGTTTGCAGGGGCAACAATGAGGGTCATTTTGGATATTGGAAGCTATTTGGCCATCATTATATCAGCATGCATTGTTATGCTCTACACTTTACTGGGAGGCCTGTATTCAGTTGCATACACAGATGTGATACAGCTAATTTTTATTACACTCAGCCTGGTAAGTTCAATTTACTTCTGTGTTTTCATTTTTCAATATTACATAACTAAAGATGAGAGACAAAATTTCTCTCATTTTCCCCAATCTCAGTTCAAAGTAGCTCTTGTGACATTGGTCTCATCTTCCAATGCTCCATTTAAAGAGTAAATACAAAAAGCCCCCGAGGAATACATAAAGCCATTTTTTCCAACTCTTACTTGAATTGAGTAAGTGTTACTCATGAGTATAGTCTTCTACCGTCTATTCACATGAGTAAATGCTAATTATCTTGGCTGGAAATAAACCCAGTAAGATGGCTATCTAAAAACACCAATTAATTTCAATAAAGTGACCATGCTCTTAACTACAGAATGCAAGATATAAGATGTGATTCTTCCACTCCACCTTGCACTGATTAGGCCTCAACTGGAGCATTTTTGTCAAGTTCTGAGTGCCACAATTCAGGAAAGGTGTGGATAAGTTGGAGAAAGTCCAAAGAAGAGCAACAAAAATGATTAAAGGTCTGGAAAAAATGACCTATGAGGGAAGATTGAAATAATTGGGTTTGTTTAGTCTGGAGAAGAGAAGACTGAGGTGGGACATGGTTCAAAAAGGACAAGAAGCAATGGGCTTAAATTTCAGCAAGGGAGGTTTAAGATTGACATTAGGAATAACTTCCTGTCTGAGTAGTTAGGTACTAGAATAAAATGCCCAGGGAGGTTGTGGAATCTCCACCTTTGGAGATTTTAAAGAGTAGGTTAGACAACCCCCTGTCAGCGGTGTCTAGGTAATAGTTAGTCCTATTTTGAGTGTAGAGGACTAGACTAGAAGACTCTCAAGATCCCTTTCAGTCCTACAGTTCTCTAATTAGCAGATAGATGCTGGACTACACCCAGGAATTGATGCAAACCAATGACTCTTTGCGCCTCTTTTGTGCCGGGTGCATACGGGAGAAAGTGCTCAACCAGTATGTCCAAGTTTACTCTACAGAAAATGGAAGATAATAATTCATATATAGTGGCCCTTTCTGGTGGACTCTACCTTTCTTGTTGATCATTGAACATTGCCATACCAAATTCTGAACACAGAGGATATGATGCACGGAGTTAATATTTTATTCTTGGTGTGTTAGTGCCGGGGTCGGCAACTCCTGGAATGCCACAAGTGGCCTGCAAGCCGATTTCCCGTGGCATGCGGGGCAGGAGCTCAGCTGGGCCCTTCCCCCCCTACAGCCAGGGGCTTGTGCTGTGGCTGCAGCCCCAGCCTCACCGCTGCAGGCTGAAACACTAGCTCCGGCTTCCTGCTGGGGGAGGAGAGGGAGACGTACACACACGTGTGCCTCTGGGGCTGCCCTTGTCCAGCCTGGGCGTGCAGCTCCCAGGAGCTAAGGGGTTAACTCCTCTCTCCTTTCTGCTTCTGGAGGGGGTGGGACTGGGCCTGCTCCACAGAGCTGGGGCTGGGCAGCCGGTCACATGTGGCAGTCTGTATGGTCCCTTTGGTCTGTATGGGAGGACAGGAGGCCCCTTCCTCAGTGCCCCTCTGTGCCCACTCAGGGCTGGAGCCAGCCATGGGCTGCCCTGGGCTCTGCCTGCCCCAGCCCCGTAGCTGAAGCCTGCAGGCAAAGGGCTGGGCCAGGCAGGGAAGAGACTCTACCCTCCCCTCCCCCCCCCCCCCCAA